ATGAACTTTTTGATAGCTTTGTGGAAGAATTTGTTGAACTTTGCAAAGAAAACGTGATGATGGGGTCAATCAATTTTAAGGCGATACGGCATCAGTTGGAGAAAAAGATTTATGAAATAGTAGCAATGGTACAAGAGGACTGCAATGAAGGCTTAATATTCACAAATGTGATTTGTGCGATTTTTCAAAGTGCATTAGGCGAAGCCGAAGCACGGATACTCAGACAGAACTGTTGTAGGTTATTGAAAGTGAGTCCATATTCTGAGGAGGCTAAATTCAAGTTGGATAATCAAAAAAAATTTGGTAAAATCGAATGTAGTTGTGGCCTAGTACAGCCTATAGACGTTACGTTACCAAAATGTATCAATTGTGAGGAAGAATTTCGATTAGAACAACTAGAATATAGCTTATTAGAAGCCATAAATGAACAAGTTGGAAGTTATCAAGATCAAGACCTTTATTGTTCCAAATGTAATTTACCCCAGCAAAAAATTTTTTTTCAAGAATGTACTTGTGGCGGAGAATATAAACAAACCGTTAGTAGAGAGAAGTTTATAAGTATAATTATTAGTATCGAAAAAGTTGCGAGAGAAAATGAGATGAAACTTTTGTTGGAAACTTGTGAATGGTTGTTGAATAAATGAAAGGTCTTTACCGAATATTTTAATTTTGCAAAATGTTAATATATTATACATATAATAAAGAAAATATAAATTTTTTTTTTTTAATATTATTATAATAATTAAATAATTTAAAACATATCTGTCAAGTTTTTATTACACTGTATTAAAAATATAATAGTGGCAAATATTAGTAATAATAATCCCTGTGATCTTGAAATAGTAATTGGGGAATATGATACAATGCTTCCGCTATATATCTGACATGCCACTACAGATCCGCCAAATGGGAATGAACTGAGAAAACCACCGTTTGCCACTTACTTTCCAATGATGATTTTGCTAGTATACTGTATCTGAAATAATAATAAAATATCGAGAGCTAAATATGTATGCGCCTAAATTGCCTATCATAATAAAAAATTATTACGGCATTTACATTAGTATGTATTAGTCTTTCATAGTTGCCAAAATTGATTGACCCCATCATCACGTTTTCTTTGCAAAGTTCAACAAATTCTTCCACAAAGCTATCAAAAAGTTCAT